ATGTACCATTTTACCAATCACATATTCTTGCATGAACATGCTAGCTGCTTTTGATTCGTCAAGATAAGTTTTTATAATAGTTAATATCACACTTTCTTAGTGGAAGGTATAGTTAGATGTTCTTGCTTCTAGTCATAACACATTCTGGCAGTGCTATGTTTTTTGATGACATTATGTGATCAGTTTCAAAACATGATCTGTAAATATATTTAGCACAAACTACAGACCAGATATGCTGATTGACTCTTCATTTACAAATGACCAAGAATACCATTGTATTTTTTTTTTCTGCTTCACTATACTTTTACCTAATTTAATTATTTAAAAAAGTTTGAAGGGATTTGGGAGTTTGAATGGGATTTGGGGAGTTTTGACATTCTGTATTTTTAATCGTTTATTACCATTACAGTGATCCTCTGTTGAATTAACTTCAAGCTAACAAAATTGTTAACTAATTAACTTCTATAAGAATATTCAATTCAATCTAAAAAATTTGGTTAACGAATTCCTAAAAATTTTCCAACATGTTTTGTTCGTCACTGCTCGCCAGCTGTAGTATTAGTCCGCCAATACAGTAATCGGTTTTAGGGCTTAACATTACCGCTTGAGTAAATATCAAGAAGGTTGTACTATTCAATAATTTTCCAAATCTTATATTAAAATTTTTTATCATTTAACAATTAGGTATTTAACATAATTGAAGAACAGGGAACTAGTTTTAAGCGCTAAACACCCACTTGACTCACCCAAATCAAGGTAGATAGATAACAGGTAGCCTTACTCCTAGATCTACGCTAATAAAAGTAAAATGAAATTTTATTTACGATTTTTTTATATGATGGTATATTAAAGTTGTACAATAAATGTATGGAATGGAGATTTTTGTTATATTTTATTGGGCCACTGATTAAATATACTGTATAAAATAAATATAAATATTCATTTTTGCACCGCTGGATTTCATCCAACGTCAGCTGATTGGCTAGCTGATGACATCACTTATTAAGCTCCTCCCACTGAGTTACATCAAACAGTAGAAGCTGGATATTTAAAATGAGGAAATGTATTGAATATTTTACATCGACCAGAGTTCCCGCTTTTACTGTAAATTTCGTCAAACATTTTCTTATTGTATAATTTACATGGCAATATACACTGTATATTACATATTATTAAATATATCTGATTAACATTTTATGCTAGTATATTTTGATTACAGAAGGATCTATACAGATAATAATACCCACAATATTACAAACGATGATGTGGCATAAGGGCGTATGAATATCTCGAGATTAGAGTTGCCAATAGGTGAATTCCTATGGGCTCTGCGTGAGCTACCTGTCATCTACCTACCTTGCCCAGAATGGCATCAGTTTGTGTCTCTGCTCAGTGGAGGAAGCATCTTGCTTGAGACTCTTGAACATAAACTATTTTACAGTACATTATTGGTCATTCTGAAATTTATTTAACATACTGACAATATATAATGCAGTGCAGTGTTGATTTAAAGATAATAATCTTGAATTACACCATGAACTTCAAATTTTAGGGTGAAATGGCGCATGAAGTATGGGGTGACTTCTTTCACCACTGTTTCTTTCCCTCTCCTCCACCCCCACTTCTAACCCCATCATCATCATCATCAACCAGGAACCTTCATGCACACCTCAAAGTAAGTGTACTTAACTGCATTTATAGTTTGTATGTGTATTTAGTAGTTGAAACCACTACAAAAATCCCATTGAAACAATGGTTTTGGATAACGAGAATTTTTCAGTTAACGAACGACCTTCTAGAACGATTGTGTTCGTTAACCGAGGACCACTGTACTAACTTTATTATGTTGGACTTAGGGTCAAGGATACATTGGTTATATATAAAAAAGCATCTCATGTAGGTTCCTGTGGTATTACTGTATGATGACCTAGTGCTTATGGAAAATTCTGCAGTCTTTCTCTGTTAATATTGTGAAAGACACTATATTTACCAGGATTTACCCCATTTCAGAAAGGCGAGATATTTTTCTGGACTGGAGAGTGTGTGTGATGGGAGGCAGTGATGACAACACCAAACAACAACTGAGACACTGTTAGTTGAACACGGAGGCTCGTTTACCCAGCATCCTGGTGAGCATTCAAAAGATGAAATGGCGATTTTATTCAAATTTTAACCATGTTTCATATAAGACTTGATGTACCTGTTTCAGTAAATTTAGTTGAGGCTGGAGTAAAGTTCATAGATAACTAGATACAGTAGAAGTCCATAAATCCAGACTGCTTGGGGATTAGATTGGGTCCGGATTTTGGATTTTCAGTTCTCAGGCAGTACTTTTAAAATTCAAATTTAAGGAGGAATGAAGAAGGGATGAACAGGTACATTTTGATATTTTATTCATTAGCAAATATAGCATGCTTCATTTATCAAAACGAGCAGTTTTAAAGAAAAGTTGTGAGTTATAGAATTTTATTCTTTGCCTTTTTTATATCATAAATTGTAGATTTTCAATGTCGAATGTTTCCATTAGAACAGTATTGCTCACACGTTCTAGTTTCTTAATTATTTCAAGTTTGTCACTCCAATTTCAACGTGTTCTTCTTTCTCTTCACACAACGAGTTTATCTACTTTAGGAGCCATTATTATGGGCTTGTACAGTACTCTGTAAATGGAAGAGTAGGACTCAAAATTACATATAAGCTGTCACAGTTTGATTGCTTGTTTTAAAGTGGCGACAGCGTTGTCTCCTTGTCGCAATGTGCAGCTGTGCTCGCGCGTATTACTCACATACACACAATCCTGCTAAATTAAAAAAAAGTTTGAGTTTTCAAAGTCCAGTTCTCGGGTGGTCGGTTCTGGCATCGGATTTTTGGACTTTTACTGTAGATGTTTTATTAGCATCTCATGATATATACTGTAAATGATTAATCCATTCATTGTGGACATGCCACATATACAGAGGTCCTGTCTCTGGCAGTTAGACTGTAGATGTGCCATATTAGGAACAGAAACCTGTTATGTGCCAAAGTGCTACACTGAGGGTGCACTTGAAATCTAGACCAGCTGCATTGAATGAGGTAAAAAATCATGTTACATTTGAACAGGTCCAAGAACATAACCTATTCGTAACTCGGGGACTGCCTGTACAGAAATGCCAGTCCATGCACCTTTAATCTGGTGATATTAGCCAAAAATGGATGCCATAAGAGGAGTCTATTAAATATGGATAAGATAAATGATGGAAGGACATGAAATCAACTTACCTTTCCACTTAAATTTGTTTCCTTTTATTGTAGGTCAGAACCGCACTGCATTGTAACAAACACTATGTCTATTGTGTAAAGAACTACTCATGGCTACAATGTTATGCGACCTTCATGGATTGAAGATTGTACAAAAGTAGTCGTTTGTTACCGTGGGGTCCTTGGATGTAATGCATCTGCAGAAAGGAGAAGAGCCACATGAGGGATTTATTTGATATATTTGGTGATAGCTACACAGAGCCAGCAAATAAAAAGAGCCTTAAGAGGGTTATGGATAATATGAAGAAAGAGGTAAGTTACTGTTGATTATAATTTGTAAGACTTAATGAGTTAGAAATTTATTGACATTGACTATAGTCTCCTTATCAGCAGATGATAAGAATCTCAAGATTGGTTTGGAAAATAATAAGAAAAATCTGATTTACAGTCAGTAATATCATTTTCAAGACTTTCTTATATTTTACTGGGGCATTCCTTAAATTTTTCAGCTGAATTATTATCTGTTGCACAATTTCAATGCAGATCCTTCCAGTCTCTGTCAGGGTGCTGTACTCATCTCTAAAGAGAAACTAATTAAATTACAGTAGTTAAGTCTTCTGAGACTTTGCCACATACAAAAGAAAAGCGAATTAATAATCGATTGAGGTTGACTATTCATTTCTAAAAATATTGAGTGGGCTATCCATAGGTATGAGTGAAGAAGACTGTTTTAAGTAGAAGATGGGGTGCTCTGGCCTGTCACAGGATTTCAGATCAAAGGGTTGAAAAAGTCCTTTGGGATTTTATGGAAGAAATGTTGATTATATAGGTTATTTGAACAGTCAAATCTTCATATTAATATTTCTGGGATTTTCAATATTACTTAGGCATCCAGGGTCACAATGTTTCCATTCCTAATCATAAGGTTTTGGTAAGTTTCTGAATTTTGAGGTTTATTATAGAGTACTTGCAATTTAAAGCTGTTCCTTTTGGATTGAGGTTACCTTTGATGATCTTTACCAAACTATCTCGAATATATGATGTGTAAGATGGGGATACTTTCCTTCATTTCTCTGGATGATTGGTTAGTCCTCAGTGCAAGTAGGATGCAGCTCTTTGAAATACTAAGGTTGTTCTGAGTATTTTTGTTGAACAAGATTTGTGGAAAAAGTCTAAATTTACACCTAGTCATGGTAGTTATTTCTCCAACTGTATATTTGCTGAAAATTTTAAAATTATATAGAAAAAAGGCTACAACACAGGGGTCCTTGCTATATGTCATACTGGTATACATATACGTTGCTAACAAGTAAAGAAATAAGTTTTCATTATATGTTAACTGTTTCACATATACAGGGGGTACATCTTATGCATCAACCACTGTTTTATAATAAGTCTATATATTCCAAACATTTACACAGTTTCATTATTATTCTACCAAGATAACTGATGAAAATGCTTACATATAAGAAGCAGATGAATTTATAGAAATATATTAATTTTAAGTTTTACAGATAGCACTCTCACTTCTTCATGAATTGAGGCAAGTGGCTGGGCTGACTTCTTATTCACATGATGGTTAATGTCCATAACTTTTTCCTTATTAAATAATCTAGTAAAACTTCCTTTGAATGTATAATTTTACCATCATACATTCACATGCCAGTTCAGTCATGCAGTAAGAAAGGGTTAATCAGCATTCATGTAAATTATAGAATACATATTGATTTGGAAAAAATTCTTTCAGTCATGGACTCCTCTGTCCAGAAGAAATGTGTGAGTGGATGAAAAAACATGTGACCCACTGGAGACTCGAGGTCTCTTCCAGACTCATTACAGCTTTTTGTGAGTAGCATTTTGTGTTTGTGTCTAACATGCCTCGTTGCTTCAAAGAGACTATTTGTTGAAGCAGTTGTATATCTTGTATTTATTTGGTCATTTGTATGGCTCTTGATACTAATACAGTTTGATTTTTTATTTGGGAATGTTTGTAAGATGCACACACACATACTAATATACTAAATTCCTTTAAAACTATCCCCATTATTATTGGACCTAATGTACTTGATGCAATATATTTTAGATTTTATCATTTTGAGGATAAGATTTTACTCTATAAACAAATTTACAAGTTTGCTAAAAATAATTTGAACACAGACAGGCTGGATGTATTTGGATTGGAGAGAGACAGTCAACTTAAAATGTTTGGAGAATACAGCTTTTATCCCTTTGGATGTGCTGTTCAACTGCTGTCAGACAAATCATACATTCTGGTATTTCAGTGTAATAAAGAGGAGCATCATCTTGCATCACTCATGTTGCGACTTCATGGTGGCTCTGTCACTAACACCTTGGACAATGCTACTCATGTGGTTTACGGGTAGGATATGTTTTAATCTGTTTCAGAGGACTATGCTTGGTCATTTTGGTCATCCATAAATTTTTCACATTTTCAACTTTCTGAAAAACTCTTGGTACCAGTCTTGATAACTTCATCTACTTAGGATCTCAGTTTTGGAATTTGAGATTATTCCTTATTACTAAGCCAGTTTGCATGTGCTAGTTGGTTCAGTCAGTTTAGGAAATATGTAGTCTATAAAAGTGGCTAAGTGTATCTGCCTGCCCAGTATCTCCAGTTGTCTGTCTGTGTCTCAGTTAATGATCCTGCAACTTTGGCCTTATTGTCAACAATAAGTGGACTATTATTTAAGGCGCAAAATTGTTATACACCCATCAGTACAGATCAGCTTCCATACAGGACACATGATTGCCTTGGCTGGAAGGCCCCTGAGAATGCCGTAGTCTGATATTGTTATACAGCATTATGATTGACAATAAGGAATATTTGTTTCTGACGGAGCTAAATAATCACCTGACATTAAGACAGGTACAGTTCAGACGAAATTCCCAGAACACTTGGCAATATCTAACATCTATTTCTTGGTCATATATATATGATTGGTTTAATCTAGTAACACTGCTTTTCATCACATATTATGTCAGAATCACTAAGTGGTAAAAGCACTCCTGAACACAAGAAAAATCTGAGAAAATTTATTACAATTTCAATCTCTCTACCTAATGATCCTCAAGTACTTACATGCAGATATTGATGCATGTCCAGGGAATTTTGTCTGAACTGTACAAGCACTATGATAGACAATATCTGTCATTTTATTCATCACATCTAAAAAGTTCAGTATGGTATATTCACTGCACAGAGAATTACTGTATGTAACTAAGTAGTAAAACTGATGAAACAGTAAGGTGAAAAAACAACATTAATTAGGTCTGAATCTTTCATTGAAATTTTCCAGAAAAGAAAGAGCATCCAACGCCAAGTGAGATGGGTGGCAGACACTTGGTGATGTCAGATTGGATTTATGATTGTGTTGAGAAAGGTAAGCTGTTTGAGCCAAGATACTACGTGCCTAAGCTTATGTTAGATTAACAACTTTAGAATTTTTCTCTGGCTTAGGAAGAATGTGATTTTGTGTCATTTAGTTCAGGTTATACCTGTGTTTTTATAATTATATTATTTGTAGTTATGCTCTCTGAAAGAGGATATCTGTTCTGTCACCTTAGACTTCTTTTTCTAAATTCAATCTAAGGTTAAGGTTTGCTTCCACAGAGGAGAACTTTTTCAAATGTTTTATCTGAATATGAGGTGCACAGAACTGAAGTAGGACAAGTACCTGAAATGATAAAGAGTAAATGAAGTTAAAGTTTGTGAACTTTCAAATTACTATAACTTTGGAACCAACAAAGATATTGAAATGTTTCAAGCAGCAGATTGTAGCATTTTTAGTGCAGATTTAATTGATACTTCAGTTCTTTACTCTCATATTATCACAAACAAATTTGAAATCTGTATCTTTCTAGAATCTTTTGCTCATGAGATACAACAGTGATGCTGTCTGTCCATATGTCTGCCGTCCATCCATCCATCTGTGACAAACTTGGGTTCTGTTTGATAACTTTCCATAGACTCAGGGCTTGACATCACTTTATCGTAGTTTAATCTCCAATATAAAGAATGTGCCATTGTAAATTATTTGTTTGGCTGAGTAATGCCATGACAGATTTCTCATATTACTTTAAAATTGGCCAAAAGATTTAGATAATAAAACCACCGGAACAAATACCATATTTTACGGCATATAAGCAGGTAGTGTTTAGGAAAAACTTTTGTGTGTATTTTGCTCTTGTAGCCATAGTTTTCTTTAAAATATTATATACAGTACCAGTAAATGTCAGGAATAAATAAAAATAATACCAATAAATAGATTACAACACAAAATATTGTATTACTAAAATGGTAAATAAAAGCCAAATGAAAGTTTAACACAGTTGCTATTTGCATACACTACCTGCTTCACCATAGTAATGAAGACCAGCTGGGACGTCGCTTCCCTAGCAACGCTCTCCATCCCCTACACTCTGCACTCTCCTCCCGTTACGTGTTTGCCCTTAGGGCAATTATTTCTTTTATCTTTATTTACAACGTGTATGTAGGATGGTGTGTGCATGTAAGTGAGTAAAAATAAATGAAGAAAGTTAAATATATCTCCCTGAAAATACGGGTTGAAAAACAACCATAACACTTTACAACTTGGCTCAGTAGCCTGGTGGTTACAGTGATGAGTCTATCCTGGCTACAGTGTCATGATTAATCACTATTAAGCGCTATTATATCAGTAAACACTAATAATAACAGTAAATCCAGTGAAATATAGCAGGGAGCACGGGGAGTTACAAGAGCAGATGATGCTCTTACTAGTGGTCACTCCTTCGCTCCCATTGCCAGTTATATAATCAAGATACATATAGGTGAAATACATATCTTGTAATCTAATTTGAAAATGATGACAGGCACAGTGATAAACAAATTATGTAAACCATTCATTTACCTACGATATCATAAGAAACAAATATCATTACTAGAATGAATTAAATAATATTCCCACAAACAACAAATGATAACTCTGTTTATGTTTCCTGCCTCTGGCACTTGTGTCCTGCACTTTGACATCTTAGTTACACTGGCCTAAGATGATCTTTGCTCTGTTTTGGGAATGCTTCTTAGGGATGCTTCTTAGCTCCCAGAACTCTCCTATTTTGTCAGAATTTTCAGAAATCCAGATTTACTGGATCTGAATCATTGAGGGTTTGCTGAATTTGGGCTAGCCCAGCAGGCCTATGTGGTACCCTGTCATAATCCAGTTTTACACCAAAATTTATATCAATCCATTGAATCTAAGGAAAGGTTATTACAGTAGGCATTAACAAAATTGATCACAGATGGACAGAAAACATAATAATAAATGATAAGTAACGATTTGGAGATTGGCTAGTTTTTATTGTGAATTAAGGTGATAGGAAGCAAAGCATATATAGTAATACATACAGTTCCTACAGTGAAAGAATAATGAATAATTAACTCTATGATTATATGATGATTATATATCGAAGAATAAAATACATGTTTCCCTCCATCTGTTTGCTGGTGTTTTTATTAGTTATCTCCATTTTATATTGTACAGTAGTGAGGAATTTGTTGATGTATAGTAACATACGTGTTTTAAAATGTTAGCTGTGATGATTCAAATAAATTACAGCTAGTCATAAATATGTGTACTGTACTTTATTTTGCTAATTTTTGGAGTAGTTGTAGATTGATGATGAAGAACTTATGCTGTGATTGAATTTTTTTTAATGAAAGCTAGTGATAATTATGAATACTGTATATAGATTATTGTTGAAGTAGTTGTACACTCAAAAAGTATCAGCCCCTTTCTCATCTATACAATGTGTCACAAGGGACAAATATTTCTTATCACTAACTGTGATTCCTGCATTATGTTAGTAGGCCTGCCTTTCTAGTGTCTGTGAAGTTGCTAGTTATTATTTGTGACATTTGTTGTAATTATGGTGAATCACTGTGCTCCACCTATAGTAGAATAATATAATGATATTAATATTGCAAAAATATAACAACAGCAGTGAAATAGTGGCTGTTTTCTGCTGGAAATCCATGACCAACACTAGTACCTGAGACTCATTGGAAAACACAGCTTGCACCGACAGACATGGAGAAATGTCACTTTCCGAATAACGGTACAGGGGGGCTCCCACCCAAGTTCGTGGATTTTTACTTTGCGTTTCTCGGTTATTCGCGGATGACACCCTGGATGTACTCAAGAATGTCTGTGGGTAGTTTTATAAAGTTGCTGGGACAGAGAGCTATTAGTTCTAGAAACAGTAATTTCCTTTACCTGTATTGTAAATATATGTGTGTGTGTGTGTGTGTGTGTGTAGACACACACAAATAATTACAGGGTAATAATGGGAAAATACTCACAAATAATCAGAAACAAATTTATTAAAAATGTAAGTCTACCCTTAAGTCCGTTCTCTATTACAGTACTCTATTAATAGAGCATGGACTTAAGGGTAGACTCACATTTTTAATAAATTTGTTTCTAATTTGTAGAGTACAGGTTGTACCTCTCTAGTCCGACATTCTGTGGTCCGGAAACTCCCGTGGTCAACGATTTTTTAGTTTGTCCAACAGGTAGATAGGCAGCTGTTTTTTTTTTTTTTTTTTTTTTTACTTATTTGAATTATTATTATTATTATTATTATTATTTTACAGGAGTATTAAATTTTTGCCCCTCAGGCCCCAACATGGGTCAGTGACTTATGCCGGGTGGGCTAATCCTTAAAAAAAAAGCGGGGAAATAGGTTTGTTTACATCCGCAGTTGGCTGCCTCTCTCTCTCTGCTTGTCTATACAGAGTACAACATTTAGCCCTTCAATATATATGAGCAGTAAATGAGTGTTGCTTTCATATTCTTATGTAGAGTAATGACGATATGTTTTCACGTATGCACTTACATATCGCAGTCTCACTTTTTTTACCATTAATGGTTAGCTACTTATATTGTTCCATTTATTAACATTAAATAACATTACAGGTACTTCAAACAACCATATTAATTTTTTACATTAATTTTACTGCAGCTAAAATCAGGGTCTTATTTTCTTCAGTTTTATATGTAGAACCAATCAGTCACTGGTTTTGTAGCTTTAACATAAATAATGCGGCAGCCATCTAGTCTCCTCTAATATTCCACTTATTATTAATAAATTGTATTGTTAATTTTGCACACACAAACATTAATTCAATAAAACGAAATTCAGAAACATAAATTAAAATATATATGAACAGTAAATAAGTGTTGCTTTCATATTCTTATGTAAAGTAATGGCGATATGTTTTCAGTGTTGCATGCCCACTTACATCTGCGATCTCTTTTTTTCTTTACCATTATCGTTAGCTACTTCTATTGTTCCATTTATTTCCATTTATTAACATTA